CTGTCCCTGTGGCAGTTCTATTTATCTATCTATCAGCGAGTCTATCTATCTATCTATCTATGTTTCCCAACTATTAGTTCCTATTTTCTCCCTTCTTGTTCATCTCTCTAGAAGAAATAAGCAAAAAAGGAAACACATCCTCTTATTTTAGTATATTATTTTATTTAGTCTTTCTCTTTTTTCCCGTCTATTTTCGCATATGGCGCCTGCACTGTATTTTCATTTATTCCTAATTTTTCGAATGCATATTTAAACACACACACACACACACACACACACACACACACACACACACACACACACATATATATATATATATATATATATATACGTTTATTATCTTTTTCTCTTTATTGAGATCCTCAGTTGTCTCCCTTTACACCGTTGCCTCACTTTAGCATCTTTTTATTTCTATGTTTGTTTTTCTCCTTTTTTTTTGTTGTTTTCTTCCTTCATCTCTCCCTCTGGTTTTAATCCACCCCCCACCTCTGATTCCGTTCTTGTTTTTTTCCTCTTTTCTTTTTTTTTGTTCATTATCTTCGCTATTCTTTTTCCAAAAATATGATGGTAACAATCATTAAATAGTAGTACCAGTTTGAGAATCACTCTTGGTTGCACCAATCTAGGAGAAGGACAACCAGCTTCCATTTGTCACTGTTATCCAGTTAAACCTTCCCCCAGTTCCACTCTCGGTCGTTTGATAGTCATGTGTGTGTGTGTGTGTATGCGTTTGTTTCTCTTATTTTCTTCGATTTTAAACCACGCTCAAAACATTCAAGCGAACTAACACACCTTGCAGACCTTTTTTTTTTTAAATCTGTTCATGAATGATCACACACACACACACACACACACACACACACACACACACACACACACACAACACAAGTTAAGCAACATTGAGCTTGGTTAATACCTTGATGGGTGACAACTGAAATTACCAGGTTTTCTTGGATGTGGTGGGTATCTATATCCTTTTATTCGGCATAGTTATTCCTATAACACTTTATTTCTATTTTCCTTATCTGTTTATTTTCTTGGCGCTTTCGTCTATAAACTCACATATTGTCTCTGTATCTCTTCTTTTTCTTCTTTTTCTTCTATGTGCCGTGTCCCTTCAGGACGTTGATTTCATGACCCTCCAAAACTTCCTAAAAGGCACGAAGCAAATCTCTCCCTCAGATGGGTTTGAAACAAACAAAATGAAAAAATCTCCTTGATAATTCTGTCACTGTCCCCGCCCCTATATTTCTCTCTCACACACATTTAAATAAAGCTGTAAGTCCTGTAGGCCGACTGTGGCAGTTCGGATTTTCTCAATCGGAAGACAGCGAGTTCGAATTACAGTTGAGTTCATTACATTCTTTTCTTCCCTCCCCAACTATTGGTAAAATAGATCAGACTGGGTGAGTCTTGGTTTCGGCCACTCTAGGTGGTTGGAATGTCGAACTTGAATTCAAAATTTTGCTCACTGGCGTAATTTCTAGTTCCAGCATGTTTAATGGTTCTGTTATCAAGGACACATGGCACAGTGGATAAAGGCAGTCTAGGAGGAGCAGGAGAAAGAGTGTGAATTTAAAATCCGTATGGCAGTAGAACTGGCAAATTAACAGGAAATAAGTTCATAATGACATCCATTAAACATGGCACGTGATCTATATGATGAATATATATATATATATATATATATATATATATATATATATATATATATATATATATATATATATATATATAAGCGTTGTAATAAATATAGACAAAGATGAGGACAGTAGTCCGAATAATGTAAATAATGTTTTGGGTTTTGATTTAGGACTTATCGGATGTTAAGCCGAGCCTCGCTACTAACAAGGTATTCACTGAAATGATTAATTATCTTCTGCTGACTTTTACTTCTTTATTCTTGTTAAGTATTTATTTGAGGTTGTAATTAAATACTGTTTTATTTTAATATTGAAGTCTTCAGTTATGCTAAATTATTAACGGCCACCGTACGCCACAAAATGGTTAATTAGTAAAACTTGTATCACTAAAACCATTATTACCCCCCCCCCCAAAAAAAAAAAATTGTGTACAAAATATTTAGATTTCGACATTAAAAAACCCATAGAGGTGTTATATACGGTGAAACACAAACAACAAACCAATCAACAACTGCCTCGACCACCGACTAAATCTGTTGTATATGAGTTTTTCTTGTAATAAAGTATTTTAATAAAGATTGTCACCCCGGGTTCTTTCTCTGACAATTTTATATGTAGGTTTTACAAGTTTCTTTCATAACTTGTCTCAATGTTACTTCTTTATTCGCATCTTCCTAAAGGTGCACACACACACATACACACATGCACACACATACGTGTACACAGACGTGCGTGTGCACACAAGCACACAAACTTTGAAAGTATGTATTGATGACGCGAAGACCATTAATAGAAGACCGTTTAACCAAATTACTTTTTCTTTTTTTAAATATTATTCTTGTCTACATTTGCAGTGA